GATCTGGAAGTGTCACTCAGGAGCAAATCAATTAACGTGGCACTATTTGTAAAAACAAAAAAATCTCATAATTAAGTCGCGGGTTACAATTCCGGCGGGGATTAGCCTCAGACCATCATTTATCCGCGGTTAGTAACAACGAGAACCACCTCTGATTGGCACGGTTGGCTACGTGCGGTGCAAAAGAAGTTCAACGTACACACATACGTACGTGAAAATCCGACCCGTGGTTCGCGTTAGATTGTGAGATATTTTCTTTTTTGACTGGACAAATAATGAATTGCCTTCTCAAAGCGTCGTTCAACAGTTCACAACGCGTGCACTATTCCAGCAGCCTGGCTGCTGCCCTACCTTCCGGACTTAAACATTTGCAACTCAAGACGTCCCAACTTCCTAAGCCACGAGGTTGCAATGTTCTTTTCCAAGAGCTAACCGCAATTGTGCGCCAATCATCCTTCTCGTGTGCCGTTCCCGTCGACTGCGCACCTTGAAGCCATTCTCACCCGGACTGAATCTGATTCCCATTAAATGAGTATACCATGGACACGTGACCGCATACATCGTGAGCGGGTTATGTTGGTGATCTTGGTGATGCTGCTGCGTTGGCAGTGGTGCACGAGCACAGCCAACAACGACAACGACACTCAACACGCGTTAGTCAGCACCTCCACCTCGTGTGTGTGTGGCCTTACAAGGAATACGATATAATAGGCGACGTTTCGGCCAACGGACCCTTATCCATAGCACATGTGAGCTTAACATGTAAAGGCCCTTTGTGTCAGTTCACTGCTGGACGAGGGCCTTCCCACGCGGTTGCGGGTCGTGGGGGTTAATTGACCATACTTCACCACCCTGGTCAGTGCAGGGCCACTGAAGTGGGTGAGCATAGACGCGGGAGCATGCACGTGACGTATGTTGAACTTCTTGCGCGCAGTACGTAGCTAACTCGTACTAACCGGGGGTGCGGAGCATAGTAGTACAGTCCAACAATTGATTTATTCCCCCCAGCACTCGCCTCTGCTACCCACCACGCAGCCCCACGGCTGCTGATGTAACGTTGCTTGGTGTGCGGCAGCCAGCCAGCCATGCACTGTCCAGACTCACACCCGCTTTGCCTCTGAGGCCCGCCACTGTTACATTACCCTCGTAGACTGCCGGTCTCGTGAATAATCACGGCAGTTGATGATGATGATGATGACGATGCCGGCCAATAAGCTGCGTTGGTAGGTGACTGAGTGGCTGGGTGAGTGAGTGAGTGTGTCGCTGGATGGGCGAGCAGTTGGGTGACAGGGCGGGTTCGAGTCGCCGCGTGCGAGAGAAGTGAAAAGCAAAGAGTATGAAGCTGCTGGGGGTTGAGGAGGTATGTGCGGGAACGCGTGGATAAGTGGGAGAGTAATCGCGTCCTATTGCTGGGGGGGGGGGGGTGTGGGGGGTGGTGGTATCGAGGCCGCAGTGTTCGCGTTCCTGTCTGCATGCCTCTCATCATTCCAGCCCCCCCCCTCGCTCCCAGTGTCCCAGCCCCTCCACCCTCCGTGGGGTTGGACGAGCGGTCGCCAGTCGCTAATTGACGGCGCTTATCGGACGCCAGCGATTCCTCCACACAACGTTCGCAATCGTTCCGAGTGACGGACGAGCGGATGGAGGGACGTGGGTCGGGGTAGGGTAGAGAAGGAGGAGGGAGGGAGGGGAGATGGTGGGTGGTGGTGGGGTGGTGGTACCCCCACGAAACTTTATTTTTAAAGAAGCGTAGAGCTTGTTTGTATTTAAACTGCGAGGGCTGCGGGCGAGCTTTTTTTTTTTCATTTTAAAAATTCTCGTGTCGAGCTAAAAATATTTAACGGGTGAAGGGGCCAGCGATGCGATGCGATACGAGCACGACTTGGCAGGCAAACGCCGAGCCCACCGCCGCAGTTGCCCCGTGGAGAATAGCGCGGCGCGCTGACTCGCTGGGGGCTTCGCTCGCCGCTCACGGGGCCACCACGCCGGCAGGCAGAAGAGGGCGGCTGAGTGAAGAGGGAGAGACCGGCTTGTTTGTGGGGGTTTGTGTTTCGTGCGGGTGAAGGTCAGTCAGCCGCGAATTACGAGACGCGCGTGTGTGTGCGCGCGTGTGTGTGCGTGTGTGCTCTTGCCCCGTAACCTCCTGCCAGCGGGCGTTCGACACTTCACGTGGCCTCAAGGTGCACATGGCCTGGCACAAGCGTCGTGGTGACGTCACCGCCACTTTGTGGCGAATGGCGGTTGTTGTTGTGGGTGCTCTGCGAGGCACTGCGGGTGAGTGGTGGGCACATCAGTTGGCGCGATCCGAATTCGAAAGCCGACGACGATTATCTGAACTGGTCCTGGGTCTCCCCTAGGTCGATTCAGCCTCAAATGAGTGCCTGGTGCCGTGTGTTAAACATCGCCACTTGGGAGATAAAGGCGGCCGGGCGTGGTGCTGGCCACCCACCCGCTCGTGTGCCGTGCCGGCCTTCATAAGTGCTTGCTAACAGCACTTGCCTCAACAGTCTGTTACAGGCTACACGCGCCGTGTGTGGCGAAGTGTCCCAGCGACTGAGCCAGACGGAGGCGTTTCACCATCGCCGTGTCGCGCTCTGCACGCCCACGGTATTCTCGCTCTTTACGCGCTGTGCCAATTGGTGACCACAGCGCACCACCGGCGCTCCGAGTACAACCGTAGCCTGCAACAGACTGTTGGGGCAAGTGCTGTTAGCGAGCACCTATGAAGGCCGGCACGACACACGAGGGGGTAGGTGGCCGGCACCACTATTTAGACACCGCACCGGGTACTCATTTGAGGCTAAGTCGCCCTAGGGGAGGCCCAGGACCGGTTCAGATAATTGGTGTTGGCCTCGAGCGGGAATCGAACCCCGTAGCGCAGTGCGCTAACGCTACCGATCCCACTTCACACAGCACCACCACCGCCGCTACCAGCAGCACCACCAACACCTACAACACCTACAACCACGACCAACCACCACCGCCGCTACCAGCAGCACCACCAACACCTACAACACCTACAACCACGACCAACCACCACCGCCGCCGCTACCAGCAGCACCACCACCACCTACAACACCTACAACCACGACCAACCACCACCGCCGCTACCAGCAGCACCACCAACACCTACAACCCCTACAACTACGACCAACCACCACCACCGCTACCAGCAGCAGCACCACCACCTACAACACCTACAACCACGACCAACCACCACCACCGCTACCAGCAGCACCACCAACACCTACAACACCTACAACCACGACCAACCACCACCACCGCTACCAGCAGCACCACCAACACCTACAACACCTACAACCACGACCAACCACCACCACCGCTACCAGCAGCACCACCAACACCTACAACACCTACAACCACGACCAACCACCACCACCGCTACCAGCAGCACCACCAACACCTACAACACCTACAACCACGACCAACCACCACCACCGCTACCAGCAGCACCACCAACACCTACAACACCTACAACCACGACCAACCACCACCGCCGCTACCAGCAGCACCACCAACACCTACAACACCTACAACCACGACCAACCACCACCGCCGCTACCAGCAGCACCACCAACACCTACAACACCTACAACCACGACCAACCACCGCTACCAGCAGCACCACAACCACCTACAACACCTACAACCACGACCAACCACCGCTACCAGCAGCACCACAACCACCTACAACACCTACAACCACGACCAACCACCACCACCGCTACCAGCAGCACCACCAACACCTACAACACCTACAACCACGACCAACCACCGCTACCAGCAGCACCACCAACACCTACAACACCTACAACCACGACCAACCACCACCACCGCTACCAGCAGCACCACCAACACCTACAACACCTACAACCACGACCAACCACCACCACCGCTACCAGCAGCACCACCAACACCTACAACCACGACCAACCACCACCACCGCTACCAGCAGCACCACCAACACCTATAACCACGACCAACCACCACCGCCGCTACCAGCAGCACCACCAACACCTACAACACCTACAACCACGACCAACCACCACCACCGCTACCAGCAGCACCACCACCACCTACAACACCTACAACCACGACCAACCACCACCACCGCTACCAGCAGCACCACCAACACCTACAACACCTACAACCACGACCAACCATCACCACCGCTACCAGCAGCACCACCAACACCTACAACACCTACAACCACGACCAACCACCACCGCCGCTACCAGCAGCACCACCAACACCTACAACACCTACAACCACGACCAACCACCACCACTACTACCAGCAGCACCACCAACACCTACAACCACGACCAACCACCACCACCGCTACCAGCAGCACCACCAACACCTACAACACCTACAACCACGACCTACCACCACCACCGCTACCAGCAGCACCACCAACACCTACAACACCTACAACCACGACCAACCACCACCACTACTACCAGCAGCAGCAGCCAGCACTGCCACTGAACCCGCCACTAAACTTCTCTCCTCGTCTCTCCTATCAATGCAGCTCACCCTGACCCTACCTCAGTCCCTCCCTCCCAACTCCCCCCCCATCCCACCACTCACTCCTCCTCTCCCTATCACGGTCCAGCCCTCAACTAACTCCGACTCCCTCCCTCCCCTCTTTTTAGTCCCCTCCCTCCCTTCACTCCCCACCCAGCCTGTCCGCTCGCTCGCTCTCTCTCTCTCTGACCTCTCTCTTCTTCCCCAGCTCGCAGTTCTAATTGGCGTGCGGTTAGTCTCGTGGGGTACACGCCGTGGCCGGCCTGCGTGGATATTTGTTTCGCTCGAGCCTTTTCCTTCTTTCTCCTTCTATGAGCAGCCGCTGAAACTTTTGAACCCCCATCCACCCCCCCCCTGCGCATTTGCGAGTCAATTTGACCGCAAGCCCGACAGCAGCTTGCTTGCCCGCCAGCTCGCTCGGTAGTTATTTTTTTGTACGGCTCTATTTTTTTTGTTGGCGTTTGTTATTATATACATGCGCAACTAATTATCCTTATTTACAATTGTTTCGCGAGCATTGACCCTCAAGCGCTGTCGGGGAGGAGGGAGGGTTGATGCTGATGTCACGTTCTGGTGGCGTCTCCTGCAGCAGCAGCAGCATCAGCAGCAACATCAGCAGCATCAGCAGCAGCAGCACGGGGTCACTGAGGTCGCGAGGCGCAGTGTGTCACGCAGTGTGATGAAGCGTGCGATGACCCAGGTAACACACGCGCGGCGTGACCATGATGGTTGTGACGATGACGTTAAATTGTGATGGTGCAGCTATTGAGATGAGGATGTTGATGCTGCTGAGATGAGGATGTTGATGCTGCTGAGATGTTGATGATGATGCATGTGATAGTTCTGCTGCCGAGGTTGACGGTGATCGTGGTGGTGAAGCTATTGAATGCTGCTTATTCTGCTGCTACTGCTATGGTTGAGTGGATGTTGCTGCTGGAGATTATTCTTATCGTGGAGGTAGTGATGATGATGCAGGTGTGGTAGGTTTGCATTGTGTGGTGATGGTGCTAATGATCGGGATGATGATGGTGGTGGTGATGCCTTTGCTGCACGCCATCGCAACCACTGCCTCTGCTGCTGCTGATGATGATGATGATTACCCTCGATCCACAGGTTGGCGTGCTCTGTATAACAGCTCCAGTAACTCCACACACATGCTTACACACACACGCACACATCACCCCACATGATTGAACACAGGTTCAGTGGCAGCCCGCGTGCGCACGTGTTGCTTTTGCAGAGCACTGATTGAAAACTGGATTACTTACACTGTTACACATCACACATCAAGAGCGCGGCTTTAATTGCTCGCGGGGTCTTTTTTTTGCATCTCTCTCTCGCCCTGCAGATAACGTAGCCGGTGTGGGAGGTGTGTGTGGGGGGGGGGGCGTAGGGAGGGAGGGGGGTCAGCGGGTTGAGGCGCTCACGTGGCGGAGCGCCGTCCGTGCTGAGCATTGCCCCGCCTGCTCTCCAGGTCTGGCCACCGCGAGAATCCATGGGCGAGGTAGTGGGGGGGGGGGCTGCGTGGGTACGGTACTTGGGGCAGCAGCCACGGCAGCAGCAGTGCGCACGTGGTTACATGCGGCGATTGGCGAGCACGTGGTGCTCCTGGTGGTGGCCGGTGGTGTAGATGATGAAAGTGGTTGGTGGTGGTGTAGATGATGAAAGTGGTTGGTGGTGGTGTAGATGATGAAAGTGGTTGGTGGTGGTGTAGATGATGAAAGTGGTTGGTGGTGGTGTAGATGATGAAAGTGGTTGGTGGTGGTGATGATGAAAGTGGTTGGTGGTGGTGTAGATGATGAAAGTGGTTGGTGGTGGTGATGATGAAAGTGGTTGGTGGTGGTGTAGATGATGAAAGTGGTTGGTGGTGGTGTAGATGATGAAAGTGGTTGGTGGTGGTGTAGATGATGAAAGTGGTTGGTGGTGGTGGCGGTAGTGTAGATGATGATGATGTAAATGCGGGTGGAAGTGGTGATGATGATAATGATGATGGAAGTGTAGGTGATGTTTGTCCAGGGGTGAAGATGATAGTGTTAGATCCTGATGACTGTGATGGTAGTGTAGATGATGGTTGTAATGTAGATGGGGACGATTGATGATTGTGGTGGTGTTGATGGTGGCGGTAGTGATGATGATGGTTGCGTAGGTGATTGTAAAGGTGATGGGTGCGGTGGGTGATGGTGGTAGTAGTGTCGGTGACGATGACAGCGATCATTGATGGTGTCGGGGTTGGTGGTGGTTTATGGTGTCAACGCTGATCATGCTGACAGAATGCCATTTCGAATTGTTGAAGCGTCTAAATGCAGTTGCATCTCAACACGGAAACTGTGGAAGAGACGGTGTTCTGTGTGTGGGTAGGAGGGGATGATGGGTGTATTTGATGACGCTCATAATATTGCCGCTACAGCTGCTACTGATAATGATTATGGTGCTGCTGCTACTCATGCTGCTACTCATGCTGCTGCTGCTACTGCTGCAGCTACTACTCATGCTGCTGCTGCTGCTACTCATGCTGCTGCTGCTACTGCTGCTACTCATGCTAATGCTGCTGCTACTGCTGCTGCTACTGCTGCTACTCATGCTGCTGCTACTGCTACTCATAATGCTGCTGCTGCTACTGCTGCTGCTACTGCTGCTACTGCTGCTGCTACTACTCATGCTACTGCTACTGCTGCTGCTGCTACTACTCATGCTACTGCTACTGCTGCTGCTGCTCATACTGCTGCTGCTCATACTGCTGCTGCTGCTCATAGCTGCTGCTGCTGCTGCTCATAGCTGCTGCTGCTGCTGCTGCTCATGCTGCTGCTGCTGCTCATGCTGCTGCTGCTGCTGCTGCTCATGCTGCTGCTGCTGCTCATGCTGCTGCTGCTCATGCTGCTGCTGCTGCTGCTCATGCTGCTGCTGCTCATGCTGCTGCTGCTGCTCATGCTGCTGCTGCTACTCATGCTGCTGCTGCTACTCATGCTGCTGCTGCTACTGCTGCTGCTACTCATGCTGCTGCTGCTACTCATGCTGCTGCTGCTACTGCTGCTGCTACTACTCATGCTGCTACTGCTACTCATGCTAATGCTGCTGCTACTGCTGCTGCTGCTACTCATAGCTGCTGCTACTGCTACTCATAGCTGCTGCTGCTCATAGCGGCTGCTGCTGCTACTCGTAGCTACTGCTGCTCCTACTGCTGCTGCTGCTCATACTGCTGCTACTGCTGCTGCTACTACTCATGCTGCTGCTACTGCTGCTGCTGCTCATGCTGCTGCTGCTACTCATGCTGATGGTGCTTCTCATGCTGCTGCTGCTGCTCATGCTGCTGCTCATGCTGCTGCTGCTCATGCTGCTGCTGCTCATGCTGCTGCTGCTCATGCTGCTGCTGCTCATGCTGCTGCTGCTCATGCTGCTGCTGCTCATGCTGCTGCTGCTCATGCTGCTGCTGCTCATGCTGCTGCTGCTCATGCTGCTGCTGCTCATGCTGCTGCTGCTCATGCTGCTGCTGCTCATGCTGCTGCTCATACTGCTGCTACTCATGCTGCTGCTGCTACTCATGCTGCTGCTGCTACTCATGCTGCTGCTGCTACTCATGCTGCTGCTACTCATGCTGCTGCTGCTACTGCTGCTACTCATGCTGCTGCTGCTTATGCTGCTACTCATGCTGCTACTGCTACTCATGCTGCTGCTGTTCATGCTGCTCCTACTGCTACTGCTACTCATGCTGCTGCTGCTACTCATGCTGCTGCTACTCATGCTGCTGCTGCTTATAAGGAAAGTGTTGCTACCTGCCTGGGTTTGCCCAGGATCCGGGAGTGGGGAATTGGCTTCTGTATTCGGGCGGCAGGAATCGATTTCCACCCGACGTCTGGTACCGGTATTGCTGTTGTTGTAACTTCACCGGTATTGCTGTTGTTGTAACTTTATCGCAGGACACTGCACACAGAGAGCTCGTGCTGACTGAGGAATATGTTCCAGGGTTTGGTCTACAGTGGGACATGTGGCGAACCTCCACAGCGACAATGTTACTGTTGCCTGCAGCGGCTGCTGCTGCTGTTGATGATAATTGTGACGCTTCTACTGCTGCCACTAGCGATATTTGTTTTGCTGATGCTGATCTTTCTGCTGCTAATGTTGCTGCTGCTGATATTGCTGCTGATGTTGATCATGGTATTGCTGCTACTAATTCTGATGCTGCAGCCGATGATGCTGCTGTTTCCACTTATCTCAACACGGAAACTGTGGAAGAGACGGTGTTCTGTGTGTGGGTAGGAGGGGATGATGGGTGTATTTGATGACGCTGGTGATATTGCCGCTCCAGCTGCTACTGATAATGATTATGGTGCTGCTGCGGCTACTCATGCTGCTGCTGCTGCTACTCATGCTGCTGCTGCTACTCATGCTGCTGCTGCGGCTACTCATGCTGCTGCTGCTGCTACTCATGCTGCTGCTACTCATGCTGCTGCTGCGGCTACTCGTGCTGCTGCTGCTGCTGCTACTCATGCTGCTGCTACTCATGCTGCTGCTACTCATGCTGCTGCTGCGGCTACTCATGCTGCTGCTGCTGCTGCTACTCATGCTGCTGCTACTCATGCTGCTGCTGCGGCTACTCATGCTGCTGCTACTCGTGCTGCTGCTGCGGCTACTCATGCTGCTGCTACTCATGCTGCTGCTGCTACTCATGCTGCTGCTACTCATGCTGCTGCTGCGGCTACTCATGCTGCTGCTACTCATGCTGCTGCTGCGGCTACTCATGCTGCTGCTACTCATGCTGCTGCTGCTGCTACTCATGCTGTTGCTACTCATGCTGCTGCTGCGGCTACTCATGCTGTTGCTACTCATGCTGCTGCTGCGGCTACTCATGCTGCTGCTACTCATGCTGCTGCTGCGGCTACTCATGCTGCTGCTACTCATGCTGCTGCTGCGGCTATTCATGCTGCTGCTACTCATGCTGCTGCTGCGGCTACTCATGCTGCTGCTGCGGCTACTCATGCGGCTGCTGCGGCTACTCATGCTGCTGCTGCTACTCATGCTGCTGCTGCTGCTCATGATGCGACTGGTGCCAACGATTGGGCGGCAGGATAGCAGTGGATAACAGAATTCGCCGCGATAAGGGCATCGGGGGCCTTGTTTTTCCTCCCGGGGGGGGGGGTAACTGAAGATGACGGGGGGGGGGGGTTCCGTGTGGGTATTCGGGGTCCAGGCGAGTTCGCGGGTTCGTGCGCGCTCGGTGCACGCACGCAGCGCGTTCCAGCGCCACGCCGCGACTCGTGTTGACGTCGCGATTAGTAACGGGACGCGCCCTCCCTCCCTCTCTCTCTCCCGCGCGCAAAGACAAAGATGCCCCCTGTAGCCTTTCAACAGGCTCATGTGGCAAGTGCCGTGGAGCAGGCAAATGTGGCGTACGAGTGGGTGGGTTGGTGTTTTGGTCAGCGCCACGGCCGACTGGCTGCTCCGTATGTTTGACACGCACCCACCACACCAGGACCTAGGGGAGGCCCAGGATCGGTTCAAATATTCGCCAATTATTGGGCCGTGAACCGGGATTGAACTCGGCTCGTCGAGTTGTGCGGACGTACATTGAACGTCTTTCGCACCGTACGTAGCCAACCGTGCTAACAGGGGGGGGGGGGGGGGGAGGTGACGAGCTCGGTAGGGCGGTGCGCTAACCACTGCACGACCGCTCCTCCTCCTCCGCCACACGCACGCACGAATACA